CACACACACACACACACACACACACACACACACACACACACAAACACACAAACACAGACGTACCACCAAGTCTCTTCTCCTGGAAGAACTAACCCGACTGGAGCGATGAGAACTGCTCAGGTCTCGTAAAGATGACGAACTTGACTTTAAAAGTAGAAATCCAATAGGAAAACATTCATTTTTCAAATTTCAATAGCTTATTAAATGCACTTATCTACCTTTCTAAACAGGCTTTTAACTCTCCAGTTTATGATTACTGGATCAATAAAATATATGCTGATTACTGGAGCAACGTTCTATTTGTATGTTATGTACCAATATTTAAAATTAAACAATTAATGTTTAAATGTCTCAAATAAGACTTGTTTCACATCAACTTGTGGGCAAGTTTTACTCTACACAAGAAAATAAGCGATATATGTTGATGAAAAAAAATTCCAGTATGACACACCCTGTAACTTCCGACACTCCGGACGGATGCCGTGTCATCATTTAATCCCTGTTGATGAAAAATTAGGAGAATAAAAAAAAAAAGCAATAAGACGAAAGAAAAAAAGAGGAGAAAGAAAGGAGACGGACAGCAACATCAGGAGATACAGACCCGTCGACTGTGGCTACTGGAATGATGACCATGATGGGCTTTTTCCGTATCAGACTGAGATGAACAGAATGAAGGATACAGAATTTAAACAAAAGAATGCTGCATGTTTTAGGCTGTTAGTGTTAGTCTTCACCAGCGGTCCTAAACAAACTCTAAACACACTAAACTTGCTGACAGTCTGCCAGGATAAGACCTGTTCAAATTTCAGGGCAAGCATACAAGCTTATCTAAGGTATTATATTAAAAAAATATATATTTTCATGTATATGCACACTATAAAATAAACAGTTTAAAATACAATAAACAAATACATGAAATATGTAGTGCAGGGGTTTAAAAACATTAATTAAAAATCATAGCGGCTATTAAAACATCTCTAAATAAAATTGAAAAATGCATTAAAATTATTGTAATATTCACAACATATCTTAATGTTGTCAGCAAAATCACTGCAAACACACCAGGAACATATCACCCAGCCCATAAAGAAAAGGCCACATAGAGATACTCGTTTTTAGACTGATAAAACTAAAATGCTGAGATCCATTTTATGGGTTTACCACTGTAATATATACAAACACACAAACAAAAGCAAATAGGTCATGTGCAAAAAACTATCTCAAAAACGTGAATCCCTATCCTAACAGAAAACTATTTTTAAAGACAACAACAGGACCACAAGGGTTCCTTTATAAACCCAAAAGAGCAGTAAAAAGTATTATTAAAAAACATGCTTGAAAGTCACATACAAACAACTGAGTGTATGAGAATACAGCTAGCACACTCCCATCTGAAAGCTCTTTATTAGTTAAAGGTGAAAGTACATGCATGTCCAAACTGGCCTAATCTTTCTCATACCATCCATTGGTGGATTTGCCCCCATTTCCTGCTAGAGGAGGAGTACTGATGGTAAGACAGCTGTGAGAGAGAGACAGCCACAAGACAAACACAAAGACTTCTATTGCAATTCAATGTGACAGTGGATTGTTTGGTACTTTTTTGGTGAATGTCTTACAGAGAAAAACACAAACAAACATACTGGTGAACAAACCCATTAACATGCAATTACTCATACCCAAAGTATGTACTTCAGTATGCAAACATATTCTTCAAACCAGGTCTGAAAGTGTATTACAACATCTGAAAATGCACAAGTACAGAAAAAACTGACAGATACAGCTGAAATCGATAACTGAATCATTCACATGTGGCTGCAACCATTGAAAACAAACTGTATTGTCATAGGCATGTTTCCACTTATGAGCTTAGTTAATCAGCTAGCTAAATTTGGGTTGTGAATCTGGAACTATTTGTAAAAGCAGCCGTACTTTGTCTTCTCAACAAAAATGCATGAAACAGACAAGCAAATTATTCAAAAGGCCACTCTAAAAACAATACTTATACTTTACTGCAACAAAAGAGGTGATGGTATATAGAAGATCAGGCATATTCTGAATGAAATGCAGAGGCTCTGTTCCAAAACCTAGTGAGCTGCCTTGCCATTTAATGCCACACAGGCAGCATCCTAAGTGAAATTGAACCTCATAGGTGATCTATTTGTAACTAAATATGCAGCAACCCATGTGTCATACTAATAGTGCTCAGCATATGGGAGACTCAATTCAGTATTTCAATAGTGTTTTGCATGATCATTTTGCTAAGGTGTAACCTGTTGCAATACATTATAAGATTTCCTTCTCCATTAAGGATACATGCAACCCTGCATCAATAATGCTGCCAACTTTTTGGAACAGCCTTCATGTTGAAAGTGTGTCTATAATGCCTTACAATGCTGCGTCTGCAGGAAGTTCACTAGGTTTTGGAACAGAGGATCAATGAAGGAAAGAGTTATGAATACCTTAAGAAACTGCACATTGGTGCAACTTCAGCACTATTCATTAGGCAGGAGGTTCAAGTGCCTTTTCTCATCCCATCTGCTCTGTAGGACTCACCTCTTTCTGTTGCTGCTCCAATTCTCTCATCCGGATGTCCCGGGCTTCAGCACGAGCTGCTCTCTTCGCAGCAAGTCTTGCCTCCGCCTGCACAAGAGAGGAAAGAGAATTTATCTTAATAGCTGTTACATCAAACAATCTAAACAGAAAGCACTCTGTCTTTTAAAAAGGAGTCATTATTCTGCATCTGTCCTGTATGAAACATTCAGATAACTCACCGTCTTACAGAATCGACTGATTACTCACTCAAATGCAGCTTTGGTGAGCATAAGAGACTTTCAAAAACATAAAAAAAGTTGCAGACCCAAAGTTTTGAACAGTAGTGTATATATTTGAAATACAGCACAGGAATGAAATGGTGAAAGTGCATTTTCACTGCTTTCTCCAGTGAGGCTGGCATTTTACATTGATGTTTCAAAAGTGAGCAATCATGACAAGAATAGACGTCAGAGCTGTGGATAGTGCACATGCTGATGATATATGTAAGGGCAGCTGGTTCACGGGATCCATATTCAAACCTAAGTCACGTCTCGATCCCAATGGCCCTCTTTCTCCCTCAACTTTCCTGTCTCTCAACAGTCCTATAAATAAATGCCCAAAAACACCCATAAGAAAAAAAAGGGGGAACAGTCATATTTTCCATGTAGCCACATAATACATGGGTGGACATGATATAAGAAGAGAGAAACCATGGCTGGGAGGGCATCCCTCTTAAACTTCACTGGACTGTTTAGGAAAACATTTAATGGCTTGAAAGAAGGCATTCAAGAGTCCTGAAACAAAACACTGAAAAGGGTGTCCTGGGAAACCACACCCGTCTCTGTGACAACACTAGGCGCTTCAAAAAAGCAGCCCACGCTTTTCAGCTTTTTTGAAATGTTTGGGTTTGCTGACCTCAGGTTGGCTGACATGTTTTTGGAGGGCGGGGTTTGGTAAAATAGGGGGTGTAGCTGAAGCAATGGGGGTGATCTGATTCACATCTACTGCAAGTACGGCTGATCTCTAACTAGGTGAAAAAAACAACAAACATGATTCAGCAGCAGTGTCTAATTTAAGATCAACACACACACAGTGCACCAGACTCACATTCCAGGTAAACAAATGGTGGATGATTTCTGACTATCACAGTCCTCATGTGACACACGTGCAATATGACCTGCTTACTTTACTTAATACCCTACACAATAATTAATTACATTACATTTCAATAAAAATACGCCTTGACAGACCTGACAGTGACTTTGCAAAGTATGCAGTCTGACAGCAAACATTTAAACAAGGCTTTCGGCAAATCTTTACACATATGGTGAAGTTAGAGAGGGTGGGCTCTGTGTGTGTGATTCTTGTGTTCAACACCTGTTGTACTGTCTGACAGTTTGACCTGCTCACCAGAGCAGCTCAGCTGAGCCCAGTGTCTCCAGCTCTATCTATAAACCAGCAGAGCCTCCGTCATGAGACTGCAACAGGAAATCTAAGCGGGGGGGAGACACACTTACTTTACAACCTCCAACATAGCCACTCATTTATTAGAGAGACAGTCTTACTGTATTCTGCAGAACAGGAGCTCCATAGGCAAACAGCCCAATGAGATGACTACAATATTGCCTAATTTGACTACAAAATAAGCTTTTTTTATTGCAGGTCACAATAAAATGCAAAGTGTCTATATTTGCACCGGTTCGTTATTCAAAGAGCAGTCGGCTTATCGTTCATCACCTGCTCAAAGCATAAGTTTCTAAGAGTGCTTTCACACTTGGTTCGATTGCCTGGTTCGAACCAGAGTTCGATTGCTCCCCCCTCCCCCTGCCTCCGCTGGACTGCATTCATATTATTTAATTTGTGTCCAAACTGTGGGTCGTTTGCGTCATCAAGCCAGCAGCCGTTTACCCCATTGCCTAGTAACAACGGCACAGGAGAAGGCGGCAAAATGCGTAGCATTGCTCTTATTGCTCTTTTATAGTTTTTGAACCGTTGGTTTTGTTTCCAAAGCTTCAGTACATAACGGCACTTACGTCTGTCTTACGAATGTACTGCAAATGCTCTAAAGAATGCAGAAGGCGAACAGAAATGAGATATATAGCTGTCTGCTTGCAGCGGGTCAGTCACGCTTCTCAGGAAAGTGAGTGAAACACACACACACACACATTTTTATCAAATAATATGCCATTCATAGTGGTTCACTTCCACAATTTGGTACGATTGCGTTCATATCAGCAGCAAACCGTACCGGAGTTCACTTGAACCGTACCCCAGACCACACCTTTTAAACGGACTCAGGTACGGTTCGCGGGTGCGCACCTGAGTTCAGAAGACAGCATTCACATCATCCAAACGTACCGAACTTTGACGTCAATCGAACCAGGGTGCGCACCAAAAGTGCTAGTGTGAAAGCCCCCTAAGACTCTACAGTCCAAGTAGTCTTTGTAGTAGTCTACAGTCTATTTTGCACCACTTGCATATGATAAAAAGTCTGATAAAAAATAAAAATAATGGCAAGAAAATATGTTGTTCTACTTGGCTTGTCTTTGTGGACTGCAGGCAGATCAAAGCACAACAACTGAAGTCTGATTTACGAACTGACTTATGAGCCAGATCTTTTAATGAAGCATTCAAAAAGACTCACAAGTTGCCAGTTTGAGTCAGTCAGACAAATCCTTGACAGAATTAACTCTCTGAATCCACTGAGACCGCTTACAGAATCAACATCTGACACACTTACTGAACTGTAAGTTATGATACTTTCAGTGATGTCTGATTTTATTTAAGTTGATTGTCTTTTGGCCAAGAAGTTAGGCCACTGAAACTACAAGTCACTTTACAAAATTAATATTAATCAGCCAAGCCTTCATTTTAGTAGAATATGTAAATTAGCATGTGGACATCTCCAGTAGGGTTGTGATCGGTTAATGGACGTGTGACAACACCGGTAATACCGGTATCACCGTGGGGGCGGGGGCGTTTACTCTTTTTCTCGCTTTCCTTCGCTTTTAAATAGCTTGCAAAAGTGGCATGTGCATTTTACTTTAACTTTTAAATAGCGGCAGTTCGGCGTCAATTGCTTGAATGCAACAACAAAATACAACGTCAAACTCACTTTAGCGTATATATAAAACATAGAACTTTTATTAACAAAACAAATAAAAATACACCATGCTATAGGGCAGGCTATGCCTAATATAAAATAACAAATAACTTGCATAAAGTTTAAAGAGGTATACAAAACTGGAAATAGTAAGTAAACATGTATAATATATAATCAAATAAATAAGAAACGTAGAAAGATTATTAGCAAAACGAGTAAGAACGCTTGGAGGCACAGCATACACCTTGATGTCAAATAAAATAAATAAATTACACAAAGTTTAAATAAAGTAAAAATCAGCAAACACTGTGGAACCAATTAAATAAGAAACGAATGTTTTAAAAAAACTTCCAAAATCACCTTAGATAAACGGCAAAAGTCAACAGGCTTTTCAAAATCCAGAATATTGCCAAACAGGCGCTTTGCATTTCGTTTCGAAACTAAATCATCCGCCATCATCTTGTCTGTCTCACCTCACCTCACTCTTCTTGTCAGTCAGCTCGACTCACTCTCCTCACTGGAGAAATGAAGTCTGATCTGTGATGTGACTGTCGTTCGGCACGCATTGAGCAGCCGCGTTCAGTTTTTAATTGTAGTGTCTGTTCTTTTACTGAACTAAATTATTTTTATTACTACAAAAATCAAAACGACGGTGGGGGTCGGTGCCGCGGTGGGCAAGTGGCGTATCCGGTGTTGCGGCTTAACACCGGTATCACCGTCAGCTTCGTCTATCGCGGCAAGCCTAATCTCCAGTAAACAATTTGAGGCAGTTTATGTGCATAAAGTAATGGTAACATTATATAGTCTAACACTGAACTGATCCAATTGACTATGGACTTAAGTACTACAAATGTACTTAAAAATAAAAATAAAGAAATAAATTTAAAAGTATTTCTGCATTGCATAAAGTAGGTGTGCACTTTGAATATTACACCTAGCATAAAAGTAGTACAGTATGTTGACCTATTCCAACCTCACATTAAACCTTAGACAGCAGTGCAAGGCAGTAATAGCTAAAGAAATATCACACCTTGCCCTAGATTCTCCAAGATGAGAGGACTAATCTCATTCTGTTGCTTTGTGGCTAATGGACCATGCAAATCACTGGCCTCTGAAAGTGACAAGACTGGCCAGTAACATAAGTGACCTCAACAGGGGGTTGCAAGGCTCAAATTCACCCCCAGTAACCTGGACCATGCACAGACAAATCAAATGGCATGCTTTCAGTTGACAGACTTCTGCTAACCATTAGGGAGTTTCCTCTGCAGCAGGCACAAAATGGGTGGGTCCAAAGGCAGGTTCAGTGAAACAAGCCAAGTTTTATGTGTGTTGTAGGTAGACTGTGATTCATAATCTTTGGACTGCATGGGTGGAGTGACTCCTGCACTTCTAAATACAGTAGATCTAGTAGCTTACATCCTAATGCAATGGACCAGCATGTAATTCAGCTTCTCTTAACTGTAAAAACGTTTGACTGACATGGATTGAGAAGTACATGAACTCCTGCAGTGCTCAGGACAAGATGCCAGACCTCTCTTTCAGTTTCACTTCTGCAGGACAACTCTGCAGGACAGCTTTAGATTTTACCGTTTCCTCTTTTAAAACATCCTTATATGGTCCATATTCAGGAGATACTGCTGCATGATTTAGCTTTTTCAGTGACAGTATCAGAAGGAAATGACTTTCATTTCCTTCATGTTACAGACTGAACAAACAGTTGACTAGAAAAAATATATATATATGTTTCAGAAACCATTTTCTTCCCATTACTAAACCACAGCAGAAAAGTCCTGCTATTTATATCAAACACCTATTTTAAAGTCAACACAAAATGGAAATTGCAATCATCTTGTCTTCCTTATTTTCACATATTAAATAGCTTCTCGAACAAGAAAAAAGAATAGGTGAAAATCATCAGAAAAGTTGATTTGATAGGAAGGAGAACTTGAAAATATTTTAAAGATATAATGATGTGCATAGATAAATTATTTATAATAAAAACGGCAATATTCCATTAAAAATAATGATTGTCCATTTTTATTTAATGTGCCTTTTAAGATGAAATCAGTCATTTCTGCTACACTAAAGGGAACTGCCAAAAAAAGGTTGACAGTACTGTAATTAATACGCTGACAACGTGCTGTGCTTTAGCTAATGCTGTATCACAGCAACAAGAAATGCATATGTTACAGTTATATAATGAACATGGCATTCAAATGAAGAAAAAGGATGCAGACATCAAATTCTCTCACTCATGATATCTGACTTAGAGACAAGGTCATCCCATTTGGTCACATGAGGGCTCTGTAATTATAAATTTGGGTCATACAATTTAATTTCAGCTCGAAGAGTCCCAGAGCACAGCACTGATAGTAGTCAGAGTTTTCTGCTTGTAAGAGTGATGGCCTCAACCATGTGTGCTGCTGAAAAATCTAAGACAAGTCCATACTGGCTGCTCCCTGCTCAAGCTGTGAGTCAAACTTCATCAGCTGCAGCTCCAACTGACAGAACCTGAACGTCAACATATCGACACATCACAACAGGTCTATGAGGGACTGACCAACAATATACTGCAGATCCGAACTATTCAGACTTAGATGCAGAGATTAGATAAATAGCAGACGTTCACCTTTGACCCCATAAAGCCTACTGTATCATATTTGATACATGAACTTCTAAGGCCTCCAAATTACTATTAATATAAAATTTTTGCATCTTCTATACACCTTCTGCCGCCTGACTGATAGTCATACTTTTTAGCAACTAAAATGCCTTTTAGTATAATTCCAAGAACGTCCACCTACACATGTCATGCTGCTCTGAAATCTTTAATGATTTTTACAAGGTAAATGTAAAGATAACTTTTATATTGTTAGTAACATTTCAAGATAAACACTTACTGGACTGAAGCAACTTGCAAAATTGCAAAATTAAAAAAATCCTGTTCAAATGTAAGTATCAAATATGATACATCAGCCTTTTGAGAAGTGTTTATCTGAACATCTCTCAATCATCACTGTATTGTATTTGTATTGCAGTTTTGCCCCCACAATAAAAAAACAGAGCTTTGATCATAAAACTAAGCACTTTAATATCTTAATAATCTTAAGACGTATTATTGGAAGATATATCATGACAACTGACATTTATATGCATTTTATGTAAGTAGTCTGTTATAGTGTTATAAAGTTCTCATTGATTTACATGATAAATGATCAGAATTTCAACATTTTGGCCATTTAAATATTAAATAACAACTGAAATTGCATATTTTTTTGCTTAGTTTGGGTTTTTGAATAAATCTGACATGTTTTTTTTTTCCTTCTCCACACTGTAAAAAAAATTCTGTAAAATTTACGGTAAAAACCCGGCAGCTGTGGTTGCCGGAATTTTACCGTAAAAAATACGGTAGCAACGTTTTAGGTTTTACGGTTTTAACTTAAATTTACAGTTAAATACCGTATTTTCATTAACTGATATAATGTTAATATACCAACCTATTGAAGTACTGAAATCTGTTTTGCACCTTTGTAATACACTGATAACCACCAAATGCAGGTGGTGATGAGAAAGTCACATGATGAACCAAAGCCCATCACAAGCAGCTTTTAGATAATAGCACATATAGAAGGTGCACAGTGTCATTCACACAAACACCATCATGGTAACACACATGAAACTGAAATAATGCAATAAAAATTCATTTAACAACATTAGGTGTAACACACAACCCTAATATACAAAACTGATAAGAAATAACTAAGAAGAAACATAGTTATTTCAACAAAAAAACATCAAATTTGAAATGTAACGCAGAGAATTCTGGGAATGTCAATTTACGGTATACTACCGTAAAATTTATGTCAAATACATGTAATGTCCAATACAGTTTTTCACTGTGTATAGTAGGGGAATTTACCGTTAACCATTTAACAGGTTTTTACTGTAGCATTTTTACAGTCTTTTACCGTTAAATTCACAGTCATTTTTTACAGTGCAGTAAGAGCTCCACATCCTCACTATATCATACTATACTCTCTAAAACACCACCCTTTAAAGACATGCCAGCAAATTCAACGTCAGCAAACCCAAACAGGCACAATGATTGACAGATGGAGAGCTTATTTGGAGAGATTTCAAGGTGTTGGCTGCTACCCTAAGCCTTTTTTACGGTTTACAGAGCCTTAGGCTGTCACAGAGGCAGGTACACATATTCCTGTAATATCTGTCAAGTAGTTTCAAAGAAGCAAATCGCTTACAGCACCTTTAGTACTGTCCAGTGTCTTTGATGGAGTATCGTTATCCTACCCATTTAGAATGCACAGAACGATGGGAAAACACTGCTACACAAATATACTGAATCCAATGAGAGCGGTTACAGAATCAACATCTGACTCTCATACCGAACTGAAAGTTATCATAGCTTTTAGTGATGTCCGGAGTTTTGTTTACATAAGGTTTGTGAAACTTATTTCTGTATCCTCACTGCATGTTCATATGACAACATGGATAGGGCTTTGTTTAAAAATATATATATATATATTTACATACACACAGTATGTGTGTGATATATATATATAATTTTTTTATTTAATGGGGCATCCTACCAGTTTAGCTTGTGTACAATGACAGAAACACATTGCTCTATGGTGTTTTAAAGGATCAGTTTACCCATTATTTCATTTATGCCTGTTGTTCCGAATCAATACGACGTTTTTTTGCTGTAGAAAACAAAAGGAGAAAGTCTACAGAATTGCAGTCAAACTCAAAAAAGGTTTGACATCAATGACAGTAAAAGCAATTGCTTCTTGTGTCATATAACCAGACATGCACGTGGAATTGCAAATTAGATTTGTAAGATACAGTGAAGGGCATAAGTTAAAGCAAATAATGACTGAATTTTGGTCAGTTTCTCTCCAAGTATGACTATTTTGTCTTTTGATTTGCTTTACAGTCCAAAATATGATTTTGGTTGTATATATATGCATAATTAAGTTGTTTGGGTTTGTAATAACAACATCAGGGTGAGTTTCTGGGTGAATGCCTCCTTTATTGTGGTCACAGGAAACCACCAGCCACAAAATGACACGAGTGAGATAAACGGGTCGCAGGTGAACAGCTCTTACCTCTCTGGCGATGCTGCTCAGAGCCTCATCCTCGGCTGAGAAACGGTCTTTAATTGGGGCCCGTTTTCGTCCTGATCCTGGCGTCCCCATGTCAACAGCAACTTCACGGTGCACACAGAAAACACTGAATTAGATGTTTATGGTCTTGTTTCCCAAAGGTGGTCTATTTGTGTAAAATATATCCTTAATGACCCGTCTGTTGCGACAATAAGCAATCTAATAGCGCACAGCAAAGACATACAGCAGAGATAACTGCATTATTTCCTATGCAGGTCTCTTAGACTCAACTCAGCATCTTAGTGTGTTATTTCATAAAATATTTCAAATGTAGGCTAGATAATGTAGGTTAGATAAGCCTGGCATCTCACACACCCACAAATAGAGGCTTTAGTCATGTGTGTCTGGACTCCGAGCTGATGAACACCAGACACACAACTGAACCTCATAATATAATGTGACAAAGCAGAGAAATATCACTGGCACGGACGACTAATGGGTTTAGATTGATTCTTTAAGGAAAAACAGCCTCATCTGTTCTTATGTGCTCTTTTGGCAGCTAATTAATACAATGACAACAAGCACATTATTTATATAAACAAATGACACCTAAATAAGAGTAGTTTTAAAGCTTTGTGCGTATCATGTTTGTCTTATTATGTATATAAATCAATGTTGAATCTGTCAGGACGTCGTAAGTACATTTAAATGTAAATAAACCTATACATAAAATTGTATATTTCTGCCGAGGCGCTAAATATAAACCAACACTCATTCAGCTGCGTTAAAGACTAACTTAAAGCACTTCATTTTCCAGAAAACAAATGAATAACAAGTGCGCTTCAGTAAACAGATTAAGTATCCACCACGTGAAGCTAAATATATATATATATATATCATTATTATTAATTATAAATGTGCGAAGTAAAATTCAATATTTATGACTCTAGTTAGCGGTTAGCTTGCTAGCTCGTCCTTAAAGACATAAAGTGTGTAAATGTCACTCAAGTCTTGTGCCGTTAATTCACACACTGCGATTTAGTGACCTGCCTGGACTTTCATGACAGTTGGCTCCCGTAAGTGCCGGTTTCTTACCGTTTCTGTCCGCCAGTATTCCGCTCGAGACTCGGGTCGGTTCTGACTGACTGACTGGGACCCGGGCGCGTTCCCGCAAACCAGCGAGATCGAGCGCGCGATACGTGCGCGTGCGCGTGCCTGCGTGACAGCCACAAACTGACACCGTCCGTCACCTCAAAACTTCTGAAGAAAGCTGCTCGTGTTAAGTCACAAGAGGCCTAAAAGCAGCATACCACCGTTAGTATCAGTTTAATTTCCTTTACAAAAGGCCGCGAATGGCGGGGAATGCCGAGAAATAATGGACTGGTTCCAGGTAGTCTGAGGTGTTTTTTCCAGCTTCGCGCTGAAAGTCCCGGATGTTGGGAAAGAGGCGTGGCCTTGGAACACGCGTAGACCGCGAGCTAACCCTAACCAACTAACTAACTATAGACCATCTAAACAGAACGCTATTCAGACTGTAGATGTCTAGGTGTCATATTGTTTATTACCCCTAGCAAATAACTTGTTATTCGATAATAATAAAAAGTTCCCACGCTATATCTTACCAATGCATCTTATTACCAACGATAACCATTACCCTAAACTAACTAACTCTAATCTTTTCATCTAACCGATCCTAATCCTAACCCCCAAACCAAACTAATTAACCGTATCCCTAACTAACTAACACTAGACATATTGCATTTTACGAACTCCACACTTGTTATCAGTCACACATTGTGTGTAATCTCCATTGAGGTGCTTTTAATGTCTCACGCGTAGACCGCCAGCTAACCCTAACCAACTAACTAACTATAGACCATCTAAACAGAACGCTATTCAGACTGTAGATGTCTAGGTGTCATATTGTTTATTACCCCTCGATAATAATAAAAAGTTCCCACCCTATATCTTACCAATGCATCTTATTACCAACGATAACCATTACCCTAAACTAACTAACTCTAATCTTTTCATCTAACCGATCCTAATCCTAACCCCCAAACCAAACTAATTAACCGTATCCCTAACTAACTAACACTAGACATATTGCATTTTACGAACTCCACACTTGTTATCAGTCACACATTGTGTGTAATCTCCATTGAGGTGCTTTTAATGTCTCATTTTATTTTGGGAGAACACATTTTCAAGGATAAAACATAATAATAATAATAATTCCTATTTTTTTTAATACCACCACCACAGAATTCAGTGTTCTGTGTTACATTTCTAGTCCAATAACGACCTCTAGCTGCTGATTCCAAAATATTGGCAGAAACAGACAAGAGAATGTGAATGAATGAATAAATGATATGATAGGGCTACATTGTGTATGTGAATTATTAAAATGGTAAACAAGCAATTCTACTTTCAGTTGAAGTTATTTTCAGCTCTAGCAATTTTAGCAAAAGTCAGTGAGTTATATCAGCTTTTTGAAATCACAGCTAGGACATGCATTCTGTACAGAATACCGTTTTGCATTGTGTTTTAACCTTTTAAAAACAAATGCATGATTTATTGTAAATTGCAATATTTATGGTATCATAGATTATGCATATAGATCATGCACTTTTAGTTTCCTATATTTCAACAAATAATTTTTTTAAATAATCATTTGATTAAAACCATTTTATAAAATGTCTCGTTGCTCTATATGCATCTATATATGTTTTTGGCAAGTTTGCTCCATTGGTATCAAGGCCCACAGCTGTTAAATACATGGATCTATTGGATGGAGCCCCAAGCCTGCAGAAAACAAATAAACAAACAAATACAATTTTTATTAAATTTATTCATACATTTATTTTTGTATATTTATGTAAATAATTAAAAATGTATTTAAAGGGGTCCTATTATGCTCTTTTACAAAGTCTTGATTTTGTTTTGGGGGTGTACTAGAACATGCTCTCATGCTTGGTGAGATTTTATTTTTCACATAATTTACATTATTAAAATAGCTTTCTCCCCAGCCTGGCACAAACGGCTCGATTAGTTCCGGCTTTGATGAAGGTCAGCCTTCTGAAAAACAAAATGTGTTGTGATTGGTTAGCTGTCCCAGTGCGTTGTGATTGGAGAACAGCTTAGACGGTGTTTCAGTACTGCCACGCCCCTTGCTCAGTCTTTCAACAAAAGATTTTGGCGAATCCGGCACTGTACTCCCTCATGTTGTGGAAGCTGTTCTCAGTAAGATGCACAGCACACAATAGCAAATTGGGGTTATAATGCTCAGGAACAGAGTTAAAAAATAAATTGCAACCACTGTTTCCTGACATCATCTGCTTTCGGAAGCCCAAACAAAAAAAGGTGAAAAAAAACAGCGTTTCAGGTGGTCGCACACTGAACGAGAAGCGCAGCGTCGCGCCACGTCTTTAAAATTCAAATAAAAAACTCTGCAGCAGCACTTCTTCTTCGTCGTCTCGTCTGATGCAGTCACTCAACCAAGCGTTCTAACCACAACCTCGCCCTCCCCACCCCCCAACCATTAGAATTTCTGTAGGCGGGAATTATTTGTAATGATATTCCAATGAGCCGCTTTGTGATATCACAAAGCCCGGAAAACAAACTCTGTAGTCCAAACGAGCCGTTCGTTGTAGTTCTTGAAAAGGGATTTTTAAAAAACGAAATATCTCCCTTTGGAGTGGACTTTGAGATTTGTAACTTTCTAGATCTTTTTTATGCCCAAACATACACACTACACACTGACTAAAATTAAAAAAGTGAAAAAGCATAATAGGACCCCTTTAATTATAAAAAAATGTAAATAGTTATGTATGTATGTATAAATAAATAAATAAAAATATAATAAATAAAAGAAATAAATAATAAAAGAAAAAGAAAATTTTAAAATGATTACAGAAAATAGGGTGAGGAAAGTAATAAAAAAACTGACTTATATTTGTTTTAATCAAGTCCCCATGAGCAGTGGTTTGCTAATGCGGTATCCTCCAGCACTGCAGGTGGCGCCAGTGAGCTCAGTTCACTGCCATTGAATCAATACAAGAAAGAGAGCAAGCGTCGCTTTGTTTTGACGCAGATGCGTGCGTGACATTGGTGTGGAGTGAATGATCTGAGCAGGTATTTAATAACGTTATTTATTTACACTACCTAATATCACTTTTCAAGAACATGTTGACCAATGTAAAGAGTTGACCTGCTTCTATTGCTTGCTTTCACCGATAACCTGAAGCAGTGAAATAACTTGAGAATTGTCCATTATATACTCGTTGTTATTATTAGAGAAAAAGTTTCTGAAATTGTTTATTATTGCTTTTAATTTTGGCTTGTTTTAATGTCAGGTCAGGATGGCTCTGTCGTTGTCCGGGGTGATTTTGCCCAAACTGATACAGCAGAGGGCTTTCAGGTGAACAACAATATATACTTTTATATCAGCACATTAGACATGATAAATGAATGATTAAGAAAACCAATCTAAAATCATTCATCTAAACCTGTTTTTGTTTAAAAGTGTTGCCTTGTTGTCATTTAGCCATTGTAATGATCTCACATGTTGTCCACAAATACCATATATTCTCATCTCACTGCAGTGTCTCAGCAGCTGTGGCAGCTATTCAGAAGTTAACACGCGTGAGGGTGGTCGACAACAGTGCTCTTGGAAATGTCCATCACCACCGTCCACCAAAAGTCATTCACGTATACACCAAGAATGTAATTGGTAAAGTGGGAGACAGAGTCTTACTGGCCATTAAAGGACAGAAGAAAAAAGCTCTCATAGTGGGTCACAAGATGCCTGGAGCTCGAATGACCCCACGCTTCGACTCAAATAACGTGGTTTTGATTGAAGAGAATGGAAACCCCACGGGAACGAGAATAAAAACTCCTATACCAGCACATCTGCGCAAAATGGAGGGGGAATATTCGAAACTGTTAGCCATCGCTCAGCGATTTGTTTAAAATGGTGTTTCTGTATTCTGGGAGGACACATCCTAAAATATGTCTCCTGTATTTAACTGTCTTTGTAAATATATAAAAAGAAACATGTTCATGCCATTCAGGAAATTAGCTTTCATGGTTACTTGTGGAATCATTTGTAATAAAATATATGGATGAAACTGTGTAATTTGCTATAGTTATTACTTATAATTTTGTAGAGAATGTTATATTATCAACTGGGTTACAGTGTGCAATTTGTAGTAAAAAATAACTTTATAGTATTCTCAAACATTTATGTATAGAAGCTTGTTTCCACCATGGGATAAAAAAACAAAAAGGTAATTTCAATTTTTTATTTCACAATTCAGACTTTTTTCTCCTTGAAATTCCGAGTTTATATCTCACAGTTCAGACTGCTTCTCAGAATTTAAAAATATAAACGTGCAATTCTAAAAAAAAATTAATAAATCAGAATTGTGAGAGAAATCAAAATTGTAAGATAAGGTCACAATTACAATTTTATTTTTTTATTAGATTAGATTCAACTTTATTATCATTTTGCAAAGTACAAGTACAGGGCCAATGAAATGCACTTAGCATCTAACCAGAAGTGCAAATAACCAGTATATATAAATAAGCAAAAATATGAAAAGTGCCTGTTAAACCATGTATAACAGGCACTTCTCGTGTTTATTGCCATCTTATGAAAAATTGCTTATTGTATTTCTCAACTGTAAGTCACTTTGGAAAAAGTCTGCCAAATGAATAAATGTAAAAAAAAAATATATATATATATATATAAAATGGAAGTGTGTTTATGTACAATAAACATTTATGAGGGACAGGTGCAGAGACCAGCTCAATTCAGTTATCTATGAAATACAGTACAAGGTGCAATCTAAATCTACATTAATATAGTGCAATATGGATACAGTACACCAGGGTGCAAATGAGAAGTATAAACAGAAGGTGCATTATTCAGAATGAGGTATTTGTTAATATATAAACATACAGTCAGTGACCATATCAGTGCAATGGTCATCATGAGGTAGAATGTACAAAGAAATGTGCAACATTAATAACAGATGATGCTGTATTATGTGTGTGTGTGTGTGTGTATATATATATATATATATATATAGTATTAGCTGGTGTGAGTTGGATAGAGTGTTCACTGTTTAAATTTAGAGTTTAGTAGGCTGACAGCCGAGGGGAAGAAACTGTTCCCGAGTCTGCGAAGTATAACGTCTCCCAGATGGGAGAAGACTAAACAGTCTGTGGCTGGGTTGAGAAGTATCTTTGATAATGCAGCGTTTGAGGTAAGTGTCATTGATGGAGGGTAGCTAAACACCAGTGATGTGTTGGGCCGTTTTAACAACCCATTGGAGGGCTTTCTGGTCTGAGGCAGTGCAGTTGCCACACCACACTGTGATGGAGTTTGTTAAGATGCTTTCAATTGTGCATTGATAAAAGTT